TAAAGCAACATATTTTCTTGGGAGATGTCAATATAAATATTTTGGCACGATGATCCCATCACAAATGAATACTTGAATATCCTATCAAGTAACGGATTTCTGTGCTATATAAACCTACCTACAAGGTCCATCAGTGGCACATGTATAGATCACTGCTTTGTGAAAGACCTATCCAACAAAATTACTTGTATACCAATAATCCTAGAAAGCGATATTACTGACCACTTCTCCACTATTTTACTGATATCTTCAAATGAAAAACATTCTAACATCCCTACCGCTAATAACAACCAGGAAAATTACAAATTTTTTGTCGACAATTCAAAACTAATATCAAATGTCAAACAAGAATCCTGGGAACAATTATACTCTATAAATAATATAGACAAAGCAACGGGACTGTTCATAGAGAAAATAAAAAAAATAATAGATATTAGTACCAATAAAGTAATAATTAGTCACAAAGAGAAAAGCAGAAATGCCTGGATTACCAAAGGATTAATAACATCGGCAATAGAAAAAGAAAGACTATATAATGTAATGAAACTAACGCCAACTACAGAGAATACCGACTGCTACAACCAATATAAAAATAAATTTATAGAGCTTGTAAGGCAAACCAAACGAAAACGTTACCTAAATAAATTGAATAATAACTTAAATGATCCTAAGCGAAACAGTATTAAAAAATACTCAACAGATATGCGATGAATTTGTACAATTCTTTACTGACATAGGCGAAAATTTAGCAAGTAATATACAAGCAAATGTACAAAATACTCAGCCTCCAAAAAGAACTTTGAACTTATTCATTTTGGATAAAGTCGAGCAATGTGAAGTATACACCACTGTTATGTCCTTAAAAAATCGGAAAAGTCCTGGGTTCGATGGTATTAAAAGCGAGCATTTGAAAATCATAGCCGAGGACATAACAGAACCACTCACTTACCTAATCAACAAATGCTTTGAATCTGGTATATATCCCTCAATTTTAAAAAAAGGTAATATAATACCGATACATAAATCAGGAACAAAAACAGATGTTAACAACTATAGACCAATATCAATAATATCCAGTGTAGCAAAGGTTTTTGAAAAAGTTTTATCTACTAGAATGATTCGATACCTCACAAAATTCAAAATTTTAAGTGAAAATCAATATGGATTTACAGAAGGGAAGGCTACATCGGACGCAATAACTAAAATTGTAAATCAAATACATCAAAATATTGATAACAGAATCCCTTCAATCTGCATTTTTGTTGATTTAAAGAAAGCTTTCGACACAGTTAATCACAAATTATTATTAGAAGCATTGGAGAGAATTGGTTTCAGAGGAAACGCGTACTCACTGATTGAAAGTTATTTGTCAAATCGCCCACAATCTGTGCAGATATCAGGATCATTTAGTAAAGAAATGTATATTAAGTGTGGTGTCCCACAAGGAACTGTCTTAGGTCCGCTGTTATTCAATATATATTTAAATGATATTTTCCAAATTAATTGTGTTGGCAAAATAACTAGTTTTGCAGATGATACTGCAATATTATATGAAGGCACTGACTGGTCTGATCTGAAAAATGTAATTGAAAATGATTTTATCAAAATTATTCGGTGTTTTAACAGTAGAAAATTAAGCATTAACTACTCTAAAACACATTTTTCACCATTTGGATCTTATGCTAGACATCTGCCAAATTACACAAATTTCTCCTTCAATATTAATGATCAAAAAATGCAAATTAATAGAGTGCCTAACATAAAATACCTTGGAGTGGTCTTGGATCCTCACTTACGATGGGACATCCATGTCAATTATATTTTAAAGAAAGTTAGATTTGTATCCTACAAAATTAAATACCTTGGGAATATATTGACAGAAAAATATCTTCGAACATTATACCATGCACTGATTGAGCCTCATCTCACATATGGTATATTAGCATGGGGAGCTGCATGTTCCTCACATATCTATAATTTTGATGTTTTTCAAAAAAGTATTCTAAAAATTATATTTAAAAAACCGAAACTTTATCCCACTGAAAAATTATACGCAGATGTTCGAATGTATGATATAAGACATCTTTATTTCTTACACAGTATCACTCACTACCATAAATTTGTAAACACCGACCAAAAAATTAAACATAATCATTATACCACGTACAAAATTCGTGGCACAGTAGTTCCTCAACCGCATAAATCTATAATGCAGCGATCATATCTCTATTTAGCGCCTAAATTTTATGAAATTATACCTAAAGACTTAAAAGATTTACGTTTCGGAAATTGTTTCAAAAGGAATTTAAAAAAGTGGCTACATTCTATATCTAGGACTGAAATTCATAAACTCATAAATACGAACATCAACTAAATACATAATCTACTGTAGCTAATTTTTGTCCCTTTTTGTCATTTGCATTCTACAGTTTCAACTTAAATTATTGGTCCATGGACAGGCGATGCCTTCTATAGGGCCTGTTTTGATTTTATATTTATTTACTCATATTGTTTGTTATCTTTGTACATCGAGTGAATAAATATTATTATTATTAGGGCCGTATCGTCAGTCATTCTACAATTGTAGGACGCCTTTATGGTCTCCTTGATTTTCATGGTTTTCTACTGTTTCATGTCAGTGCTCTATTTTGAGGTTATGTTACAAATAGCTATTTTCATTAAATTGTTGATGCTCCTAATTTATATCATCCGTTATATCAGTCTAAAATTCCCTACACCTCAAAAAGAAAACATAGCCTCCCAACAGAAGAGCTCTGACGCTGACACGGAACAGTAAAAATTCAGAAATACCACAGCTTTTCTGGAGGAGAGAAAATACAATGAAAATCAAATAGGTCATAAAGGCGTCTTACAATTTTAGAAACGGCTGACGATTAGGCCATTAAAATATGAAAGATGGTTCATACGAACAAGGGTCCGGAAGTGCTGATGTTCAAACTTGTCGTCTTTGTATTCAATAATTGTAAAAGTTGAAAAATGCTATACGCATAAATAATACGGCATTGTACACTGTGTTTTTTAATTGGATGTCAATATTCTAGGGGTCGATTTTTCGCTGCATTTTATGAAGAAAACTTCATATAAACCTATGTCCTAAATGTCTTAACTTTTGAGATATGAAAGTTTTCATTATAGAACGTCTGTTGCACACCATCTAAAAATAAAAAAAATTAAATCCGTATTCGTTTATGAGCAGATTTGAATAATTGAAAATATTTAGTTCCACAAACAGTTTTCACCTGAAAAAATAAAAAATATCCCTCTGCATGGTGATATTGTCATATTGCCCATATTGTTATGATCATGCAGAGAAACGGTTTTTATTTCTTTAAGCGAAAACCGTGCATCGGATTGAAAAAATCGAGTGACTGAAATTTTTCATAAAAGATGGAGGATTTCAAGAACAATGTTCATTTTAAGAGAAATCAGTTGCCAGCCAACAATGTCTGCCTAAGTAGGCAGGTGAAATTCGGTACCAAGACCACTGGGAAAAATAAACAAAACTTATTACATCAAAAATTGCCACTTGCTACATTCAAATTCCATTAAAATATCTAAAGTGGTATTTACAGATATTAATAATAAATAATTACTTTTGAAAGGTTTACCACCGTGAATCTTAGAAATTAAGACTTTTATGATACACGTTCATACGGAGCTTTCTTGTTAAAATAGACCCAAAAATCGCTCCCTTGAATATTAACATGCATTTGTTAGAAGATATAACGTAACTGGTTCAGTTACTATTAAGCCACGATATGTGAAAAAAAGTAATATCACAAATGCCGACCGAAGAGCATTAAGAAGAATAATCGTGAAAAACAGGCGTGCCAATTATTTACAATTAAGTGCTCTGCGGAGTGACGCGGTTGGAAGGATAATTTCGAGGTCCACAACTCATAGAGAGGCCCACAAACTGGGATTTAGCACTTGCAAGGTAAATCTTCTTATAAAAAAAAGTGAAGTAAAAACCCTAAAGTTGCACAACTTGTTTATAGGCCAAACAAAAGCCACTATTAACTTCACTGCAAAAGAAAAATCGGCTTAGACGGGCTAAAGAACATAGACAATGGACACCTCAACAATGGTGTGCAATACGATTCGACGTTTGTGTTGGTGATAGTCGCAGTAGTTATTCGCAAAATGAAGCATTCCATGTTGACTATCTGAAGAGAAAAGTGGAATTTCCAGCATCCATTATGGTCTGGGGCAGTATATCATCAAAAGAAGTAGGAAAACTTCATTTTATTGATGGAAATGTGGATACGAAAAAAAATATTTGGCAATTTTAGAAGAATGGCTTTTACCAGTGATGGAAGAATGTTTGACATCCGGCCAAGATTTTGTGTTTCAGCAAGATGGTGCAGCGTGCCATACCTCAAAAAAGGCTATAAAATAGATGGAAGAAAATAATGTACCACTTTTGAAATGGGTTTCTAGCAGTCCAGATCTGTCACCTATTGAAACTTTGTGGCACGAGATGAAAAAGGTTCTACGACAACATCCTGCTCGTACAATCACCGAACTGAGACAAAAACTTCAAGAAATATGGGATTGTTTTACACCAAATTTTTGCCAATTCTTGGTTAACACTATGCCCCAAAGAATTTCAGCCGTAATAAAAATTAAAGGTGATTTAACCCAATGGTAATCTTTCAATTGTTGCTTCGTTAACTTCGCGCATTTATTCTCACATTGTTTATTTGTTCAGATGTTCTATTAGTTATAGGTCTAAGTGATTTCAAACATGTATTTTTTCGACTAGAGTGTATCTAAAATGTTTTTGAGAAAATAAATTGTTTTAGAAGTAAATAGTTTCGTCATGTTTAAGGCATATTTTGGTACAAATTTTGAAGTGGGAAGGGGCTCGTAGTTTTCGAGAAAAAAAATGATTTTTGGAGCTGACTTCTAAAAAATGTTACTAAATCTGTGGGATATTATGTCAGTGTCAGATGGTTTGTGACAACAAGCCTCGGAAATGTTGTGTTTAAAAAAACTTTGATGCGACCTGAATCGACTTATTTTGAGTCCAGGAACTACACTATTTTTCTTAAAAGAACATCTCATTTGGGCGAGTGCAACACTAATTTCACTAAAAGAGCGCTAAAGACGTAACAGTAAGTAACGATATCTTGCACCTAGCATCAAAATCCTGCGAAGGTACTTTCTTTCCAGGTAAATCAGGTTAAAATACAGGCGCAACCAAAGCTGCAGGAGGTAAGAAAACCATTTCACGTTCCGCGTTGTATTTCTTCGCGAATTATCAAATTATGAACGCCGTGAGAGAAATGATTATAATCCAAAACTGCATAGCTGCCACCGGCAATGACATTGCCGTCCAGATGAACATTACAGACAGGATTTTGTAGCATTTCTATCCCCAGCTGTCTTTGTTCAACCCATTTACACCATCCAAGAATATGATTAGGAATATCTTCTTTTTCGTTCCAATATTCACAGTTTGCATACTCTCTCTTCCTTACCACATTCAGGTAGCTGTCAAAACAACCCTGTCCTGTAAGGAACTTTGCTGTATAGTAATTTATCCGCACCCTGTCAATCCAGGTTTTAATATCTGGAATCGGTCTTCAAGTCGTGACACCATGACCAGTTGCAGTGCATTTCTCGTGCCATCTGACAATAAGCGGCTCCCTTTCGTTACTTCTAGCTCCGGCACCCTTTCGCGCATCTTCCTTAAGTCAGCAAATCAATTGGCGGGATACCAGCCGCCACCACCGAATCTCGGAATTATCAACAGCTAACGAAGTTAGCTGCTGTCTGCCAGAAATTATAACTACTTGCGTCTTCTCAGGAGCCAATTTTAAGCCATTTTCCATATGGTAATTCTCGTGATTTCGAATGCCAAGGGCCCTTAAGTGTATCTCTTTCCTTGTTAGTCACTATTATCGCGATGTCGTCAGCATACCCTATCAAGCGAATTTATGGCAGACTTTCGCTTTCTGTTATCACATTGCGAGGGAGACAGTCAGTTCTTTTTCTCGAAGTGTTTCCTTAGCCTGCATTCTATCAGACATTCTTGTAGCTTTCCAAGTGAACTCAGCATATACAGAGGTCTATATGTTATTTATACAGAGAAAAGCGACTTTAAAGTAAAATAAAATCTGACAACGCCGCAATGCCAAACGCAAATTACGACGGAACGCAGTGTAAATAAAGATGGAGTGTGTTATTTTTGGCTCTTAGGTATTTTGATAATGTACTCGTAAAATGCAAACAATTATAAAAACGGACTTACCACTAACTGTCTCAGCCCTTGCCCTGGTGTGTGAAAGTTTATTGAACGTATTAAAAAAATCCTCGTATAAATATGGAACACAATTTCGATACATACATTGTTTTCCTTTTTAAAACCCACGCTCCACTTTTTTGTATTGAAAAAAGGTGTTCAAAATGTCGTCCTCTACTTTCCACATAAGCTGCATTACGACGAACCCAGTTTCTTCTTACTCTAGGTCCTCGAAGTTGTCCATTTACTATTTCAGCCACATTAAGAATTTTTTAGCGAAGTTGTGTTTCAGTTGTTATTGGACCAGCCCCATAAACCATCCCTTTAAGTTCTCCCCAATACCAGAAATCCATCGGATTGAGGTCAGGAGATCTTACTGGCCATTTTCGAGGTTCAGGAGCATTTCGACCGATCCAGCGATTTGGATAATGTTCATTCAACCGATGCCCGATAACTAACCACTGTTACCGTTTGCGATCGATTGCCGATTCGATAAGAGTGAGGAAAGGCCGACGCGCTGTTGTCATGTGTGATTTAAATATTTAATTTAATGAAACTTACTTACTGACTAAAAATTTTGGCCTAACTTAGAAAAACTTAATGCCATTTATTTGTTAATTACCCAATTTAAAAACGCACTTAAAGTTGTAAATTTAAAGCCATTTATACAAAAATCTATTGACTTTTGGACCATGGGTCATATGAACCTTTTGACTTGTTTTGACCTTTCCTATCACCCATTTCAATAATGACTACCATAACGTTTACACCCTGTATATAATGGGCTTAGGGATGAGTACCAAACCAGCCTCCTTCCATCTCTTCGGAAAGACTTCCGTTCTCAAGCATTCAATCATGACACACAGCACGATTTCGGGTATGTATCTCTTTAACCAGCGCTTCCACGATCCAATTTGGTATTTCATCAAATGAGATTCTTTTGATTTCGAATATCACCGGTTTCAAATTCAACAGCTAGTAAAGTTAGTTTCTGTCTACCAGAAAGTAGAGCTGCTAGCGAGCTGACGCGTATAAACCCTTACAGGTTGATGATCCGCCCAACTAGCAAAGTAGTGGTATAAGCTTTTGGTAAAAGAACCGTTCAGCCACAGCCGACGTCAACTACGAGCCGTGATGAAAGAAAGGCAACACCGCTCTCGGACGGCATGGTAGTGCTACCTGTGAACGTCGGCCGCCAGCGGCTGTGTGCTCCGTCTCCATGTAACGTTCAAGAACTAAATTTAATTTTGGAAAAGAGGACAGTTCGATTCGATAAAAATCGTCTGAATATGAAATAGCTCTAAAAGATTTAAAAATACGAAATAATCGTGATATATATGAGTCGCTAATGCAGTTAACCTAATTAAAAGTATTTAGTTTACGTTTTTTGGTGTCAGCACACTGTGTTCCAACAGGCCCAGCTTGGAAATGTGGAGTTACCTGTTTGTTTTTAATACATTTACTTTCAGTTTTACTGTTATTTTTCAATTTTACATAATCATTCAAAATTATGTTTGAAAAAATAGACAAAAGCTTAGATAAAATATCTGCATAATTGCGGCCACAGATGCAAGTTAAAGAAAATTCACTGTATATAAAGTCAGACTGAATGCTGAGCAAGGTTAACTGACACAAAATAAATTTTTGATTATTGCTTTTCAAGAAGAAAATTTTCAATCTATCTACATAAATATAAGATTCAAAAATGGCATACATAATATGGTAGAATATGATTGGTACATAACTGGTTGGAATTGACAGTCCTCCTCTTTGCAAATGATCAAAATAAACATTTGTTGTTAATGAACCTTTTTCTTTAACTATTAGCGATTTGCATATCTCGCAGTTTAGGCTTTTAGAGATAGCGTGTGAAGCATATCCAGATATATAAGTCTTAGTACTATCCTCTATGTCACAATTGGCTAAGTAATTTGTCTCAAATACTTCATTGAATATATCCAAAACTTCAGGATTTTGTTTGGTATCCGAGAAATCAAAATTTTCTTGAGTTTCTAAGCAGTTTTGGAACCTTGTTTTAATTTCTGCTAAAGAAAATGACGATTTCTTTTCATTGAAAATAATCTTCAGCCGTATTTTCTTTTCAGCATTTAAAATTTCATCATATGACACATTGTAATTGCAGCCACATAAAAGTCTATAATTGCCAAATCGTTTTTCTAAATTATCAGTGGTGAATTTTCCAGGCAATACATACTCAATGTCAAATTGATTAAATGAATATTCAATTATATTAAGTAGAGTGAGCGTGCTTTGATATAGAGCTGTATACGTTTCTGGTGTCAGGTGTCCATTATTATTCTCTAGATTATGCCATTTTTCTAACCATATCAGGAATTTTGTTAAAAATTGTACTCTATAATCATATTTATTGGTAATAGGCTTACAAAATTCGTTTCGCTTCAATTCTCCTTTTATTACACTTGTATTACTGACAATATCCCACCAATTCCTGATTATTTCCAAAAAGTGTGCAGCATCATTAAACTTTAATTCTTTCATAGCAGCTATTGTTGAGTGATGGAATAAATTATCTACAAAATTTACATTTTGCCTTTCAAATGAATTTGGATGCAATGTTTTATAATTTAATTTATATGCTTTCTTAACTACAGCTTCTTTTTCCAATTGATATACAGCACGAATGTTTTCAAATTTAGCATACTGAATAATATCATTATTGTCAAAATTAGGATATACAAAAGTTTTGTCTAGGTTTTATCAATTAATCCAATTATTTCTGATACTCTTGAAAATATGCACAACATCATAAGTTAAATATATGTTCTTATCAGGATTATGTGGATTTGGAATAGAATAATTTTCTGATGAATCCTTTGCTAATTTCCTGAACATTGCTCTATTAATTCGGTGATTATCAGTAACAACACAAATAACTTCAAATCCACATTTTTGAACTAAATTTATCTTTGATCTTATCCATATCATCGAAATTCTGGATAGCTTTTTCATGTTTCTCAATTAATTTTTGTTTTCTTTGCATTGGGTCAGTTCTTTTGGGTGCTTCAGTTTTTGAAAGATATGATGGCAAGTTTGGGAAAATGGAGGTAACAGCATTTTCTTTCAATTTTGGATATTTCAAAGGTATATTATTTTGGACTGTTCCATCCGCCAAAACTATATTTTCTGTCCTGATGATATCCGATTCTCTAAAATGACGACTGCACACAGCTGAATATTTTGAAGGTGTCCAATTTTTTCTGGGAATTGCCATAAGCCATTTGTTTTTCAGACTTTCGGTACTTGGGAAGCGAAAAGTTGAAACATAGCTTTCTGTTTTCAAAGCAGAATTATAGTTTGCATTGCATAAAGGAACACAGCAACAACGAGGCATATTGTCTGCGTCAAATACTTGATAAATGAAAAAAGAAAAATACAACCTGAATTTGCACGTTTTCAATAGTTGAAATCCTTAGCGTCCTCAGGCGCGAACAGCCACAGTCACACTTCTTAGTTTATTTTTAAAGCACAGAAGCACTACAACTGGAGCCTATTTCTCATATATTATAGTCACCGATCACTTTGAACACATACACACACTTTAAAGCTTAGAAAACAAGCTTATCTCTTAATTACAGCCTCTGGGATTCCAAAATCACAAATTAAAAAGGTTATGTTTTCTCAGCGTTTTGAGCACGAGTTGCGTCGATGCAGCAAGCAGCGGCGGGAGTAACACTACCACCTACGTTGCCAGATTTCTTTGTTCACGGCTCGTAGTTGACGTCGGCTGTGGTTCAGCCATAAAAGTTCTCTATTGATGTTGCCTGAACACCAAAATGCTGGCTTAATGTTGTGTAGAATGCAAATTTGCTTTCTGCAACATATTTGCTCTAAAATGAGGTGTTTAAAATATTCTTATAGCATAGTTATACAACACCTTATAGTGCAAATTTTTAACTGTTGCATAAACGTTTATACAACTATTTTATAC